CTGCCAGCCAGTGAAGGAAAAAATCACCTGGCTGAGCTACTGCTCCAGGAACATCTTGGAAGTATGAGCTGGGGCTATGGGGAAGGAAGAGGCCCCATGGTCCTGGGCATGACCTAAAAGTGCACCCTGCCAGGGTAGGGAGGCCTGGTGAGACTGTGCCATTGAAATGCCAGGGCCACTAACCTTCCCAGTGAGGATGCCTCAATAACCCCAGCCCACATCATCTTGTGGGTCACTACCAAGAGGCACCTGAGCCCATATATATGGGTGTAAGACACAGGGGTGGGGGCCAGGCACGCTCAGAGCGGAGCACCTGATCCTGCCGGGGTGTAAGACCCCAGGCCCTAATGAGAGGGTGGAGTTAGGGCTAGGTATGCTTAAAGGGAAGCACCTGAGCCTGAGGGGGGTGTTCGACCCTGGGGCCCCAGAGTAGGGGTGCAACGTTGGTCTAAGGAAGGGGTGATGTGGCCCCATGAGGGGCTAGGGGAAGAGTCAGCCCACAGTTGATGAACTGACTGGCAACCATTCAGATGAGGGTCGCAGGAGAGACCCAAGAGGCTGAGCCAGGGCCACTCAAGGAATGAAGTGTCAAGCCTGATGGCCTTCCAGGGTCCCTCTAGGGAGCAGGGCAGGGTGAATGAGGCCCAAGGAGGGCAGAATGAGAGAGGCCTAGTGAGAGCAGGTGGAGTGCAAGAAGCCCTGGTGAGAGGTGGGTGGTGCGAATGTGGCCCAGGATAGGGCAGTGTGTAAGAGGCTTAACTATGTGCTAAGTTTGGTCTGGCCTTAAGCCAGAGATAGAACAAATGATATAATCTGCAAGGCATGGGACACTTTAAGGGGAGGTTGGAGTGTGTACTTATTACCCTCCTACATCAGGGTACTCAAAGGGCAGCCTCTTGCCTAATTAACATCTGGATCAATTAACAACAAGGCATGGCATGCAAATGGGGTGGGCAGTTTACCCATAGACAGGTGGTAGGCCGATACTGAGATCAGGCCTGGGAGTTTGCCCCATCACACCAAGACTTAGCATTATCCATTCAGCCTGACCACCTACACCTCAGAACAATCCTTACAAGAGCAGAGAGGAAAGGAGTGGAGGGAGAACAGATCTTGTATTGGAAGGTAGAAGATCTAAGTAATACTATCCTGGCTTTTCCAATAAATCACTTACTTCCTTTACAGCTACAACATGGTGGGGCCATGTGAAAGCAGAGTTGCAAGCCCTTTTCCTGCTCTGCAAAGTACAACAAATATGTATTGTATTGGTCTGGACATGCTCTAAATGCATAACTCAGTGTAACAGAGGAGTAGCCTCTTCTTTTTTATTATGTACCCTGCTTAATACCCACAACCAATAGTGAATGAGTGGAGGAGCTGCAAGAGACACAGCAAGGAAGTTAATTAATGGGGAACTATGCAGGACAGGACATCAAATCTGAAAGAGT